ATATATATATATATATATATATATATCATGGGCAGATAATTAATCATTGTATTAGCCACCATTTGACCGTTGGTGAACCATTACCATAAAATATGCACTATAAAGATGACGACTTTTTCGTCTGACAGGATCCTGGCTGAAGGACATTTTGCAAAACCAGTGATTGATTCGCGATTCTCTTACGTTTTTGTGCGTGTCAGGTAATATACAGCCAGCTCACCACTATCTACAGGAATTGAATGGAGAAGAAAACAATTGCTTATTGTCACTATTTTCCGCCTACCACTCTTTCGCGGGAAGCTTGAATAGTCCCTCATCTACTTACTCAATAGAGTAAGCACAATATGCTTTGACTTTATCGGCATCTTTTCGTCCACTGCTTGTTTAAAGTAAGATAATGGATGATAAAAAAAATTAAAAGTTAAAAGGATCCAAACATTTATGCACAGTCTCCCAACTTATTTTGATGAAATTAAAAAAGCTTTGCCTTCACATTTAGTTCTTTCAGAAGGAATTGGTCCCTCTTTGTGTAGGTGCATCATCAACCTGAAATCTGCTTGTTTTTCCATTGCGGACCGGGCGTGTAGTATGCATTTTGTACCATTTGTGAACTCAATCATACTCTGAGTTCCTCTGTTTCAGGGCTCTATCCCATGTCGAGTGCTTTGAGAAAGCATTTCTGCTTAACGCACTACTTGCAGCCGGCTGTTCTCAACGTGCACATTCGGTTTCCTCAATCAGTTACCTATTCTATGATAGTGGTGCTAAACTAATGGCCGTGCCTTTTTAGGCAGTTGTACTTCCATTAAGACGGCTTTTTGATGTATGTTTATGCAGGCCTAATTAACATCCACACTCACCCGATACTGTGTACAAACACGGTAGAATGATTTGTTTTCACAACTTCTGCTAGTCCAATCATTTTGTCTGTTTGTTGTCTTTTTAATTTTCCGTCTGCCGCTTAATAAGTATTAATTGCATTTTTTAGATCTTGCCTCCCTTACGCACCTGTCCTTGTCTTAGTGCGCAAGTTGACTTCACTTTGGCTCCTTCAGCATGCGTTTATGCACAGCCCTATTTAATTTATATCGGGTCTTGGTCTTTTTGTCTTAGTTATTCATTTATATATTTGTTTATTTATTTCGCGCATTATTCTGCTTCCATGTTGACATTTGTATTTTGTATCTGACCATGCTAACATCCACAAAAGCACACTTATTTGTTTATATAACGACTCAAGAGCCCTGACAATTCATGGGATAGCGTGTCTTTCCTCTCGTGGGGTTCTACAGCTTGACAAATTCGGTGACTCCGTGTTCACTTTCCAATTTTCCCCTCATCCCGCCTTTGGTCTAGCAGCAATCTTTCTCCCTAACAAGTATTATTTCACCATGCGCCGATTTCCTAATCCGTGACCTTGGCGTAATTCGCAAGTGATCGCAGCTTTTTGGACTTCTATCTAAGGTTGAATTACACCTGAGTTAGGCTTTTCTTTTTCGATAACTTTCCCAACAAGTAAGATGGACTGAAAGCTCCACTCCTTCATAGAGGGAGGGACGTCTTTCTACCTTTTCTACTTGCCAGCTGACACCGGTTTCTGGCCTCATCGTATAGTTACCATTGGCTCCTCCAAAATAGCACTCTTCCTACTCTTACACTTTCTTTCGGAACCAGTCTCTTTATTCTCATTCTTCTTCCATTGCATGCCTCCTGATTACTCGTGCTGCCACTGATCGTCCTTTTGCACTTTCTCCTTCATTTCACGTCATCTGCTCTCTACATTGCGCGTTCATCATCTATAAGTGTCTTTCTATGCTGTCCATCTCCCTTTATTTTGGTTGGTTTATCTGACAAGTTTGGCTGCCACGACTAATCTCCTTACCTCACTGTTTGTTTGGAGTACTGAGTTTCGCCTTTGCGCTTCACCTCCTTGTGTATGCATGTCTCTGCATTTCCTCCTTTTTACTTGTATCTGGCTCGTATTTTGCTTAAAGCTTTCTACTCATACTTGCCACTGCTATTCCACTCTATCTCTGTCTGTTTATCCTTATGTTTGTTTTCATATTTTCGTTTCTATCTTTCTATTTGTCTATATTATTTTCCTCTATACATTCTCCCGACTTATCGTCACATATTGATATTAATATATGAAACTTTCATACCCATCTCCTTTCTGACCCGAGTGCCCATGAAAATTTTATAGTCGATGTTTTCACTTTGATGGCTTTTCAGTCGTCAGATTCACCAGATGTTTAGACACATATCTTTTATGAACACATTAGATTAAACGAATGCTTTGAGTCAGTTGGAAATCTTTTACTGATATTTTTGTACCAATGCTTGCATATTTGCCTCCATCTTCACTATCTCCTTCCTCTTGTAACTAGGCTTAGTCAGGTTGCTATTAGATTCCACGTCTCGTGTAGTTTGCACAAAAAGTTAATTTCGCCATTATTTTCATTCTTTGCCTATCTTTTTCTTATCCAATCAGATCTCACTTTCCTGCGAAATTCAGATCCAGGATTCGCGTTTCATTAGTCAAACGGGGTTTTACTGCCCCAAGCGATATCAGCGTCTATCAGCTTCAGGAAAGATTGACATATTTTTCGTTTTTAGTAGGCTTTCATATATACACGATCTATTGGTAGTCTCGAAAAGCGACTTATAAAACGAAAAATAAGCAAATATAAGTTTGCTTTATCTGCAATCTCACCTTAGAATGTGATCTGGGAACATGCCTGGCCTTCCTTGACATTCACGTCTGCTCGATTGCCCATTGGCAATCGTGGCGATATGGCGTAGTGGTTAACGTGTTGAGATTATGCACTGGACTTTCATGTTTCAAGTCCAGTTGGGGTTGTTGATAAGGCATAGGCGAGGTCGAAACTGCCATCAACTTGTCTGTAGAAGAATACCTCATAGGACATTCAATATAAACGTAAGCTCTACTCATATCACTGCGAGAATTCAACCACCGGTCCCCTCATCACCTTATACGAAATAGGGTTAGTACACCATCTATAGAGGCTGACAAATGCTCATAAAACACGATATTATGGCGTTTGAGTCAGACTTGACTATATTGAACGCGATAAATGCACAAGTCGCATTCTATTTTATCTCTTGTCTAACGTGATCCATTTTTGTCGACATTAAAAATAGGTCATTTTAAGTCGTGAGTTAACTTTGTCTACTTATTCATGAAGATAATTTCGCATTAACGAGCAGACGCCTCAACTCAATGTGACAGGCTGGGTGATGTCTTCATCTTGTGCATATTTGTTATTTACTAATGTGGCTTCAGCATGGATCAAATGGACTGGTTATTTCAAAGCAAAACGGTGTTTTTTCTGCCCAGCAAAATTATATCTGATTTTATTTTAGCGATTCTCCGAGTCGACAAATGGATGCTGAGCCGGCCGACATTCATTTTAGGTCTATACTGGCAAAATCCTGATGCTACACGCAAAAGTAAGGCTGCCAGTTAGTCGGCTGTTAATCAAAACTGATCTCTGTCACCGGTTCCTCATATAACTATTTTGCCTATTGCATGCCCTCCTACCACTACAGAAATCAATCAGCGTTGCTATACCGTATCATTGGAGCGTCAAAGCTCCAGCAAGAAGATGCTTTTGGAAAACCGATATTCTAAACCGATGGAAAATATCGAAATGCTTTCCAATATATTTCTCCAACTCCACATCCAGACGCCTCCATCTCGTTTGTCTCATCATCTACTCGTTACTAACCCACTTCTTTTTAGAATCAAACAAAAGATCGCGTCTTGTCCAGACGGAAATGCAGTTTGGGGCTTTAGTCCTGCGGGTTATCGTGTCTATTTGGTGCTTTTTGACATTGTATGCTATAACTGTGGTCAACTTGGACTAAATTCCTCAACAATTTGGGGCTTGGCTGTCGAACCTTTGCGACTTCTGGTGCTCATGCTTACTTAGCGAATATGTTGCACTGCTTGAGCATACTCTGGCTTGCATGGGCAAAAGATGCATCTTTTGTCGTAATACTCCTTTTGCTTTCAATTTTACTCTACAGTAAGGCAAAGGGCCTAATGCAAGTTGTATCTGCCAAATTATTACTAATGTGTAGTCAGTAATACAAATATTACTTATCAGATTGTATAATACCCTACACGTCTAATGAAAAATGAATTTCTTCTGCAAACATCTTATCTACACGGTCTCTTTACAAATTCCACCCCTTACTAAGGCATACACATTCAGCAAACGAGGCAGGCTAGCATAATTTATGGATGATGGTACATCGATTGCCAGGGTGACAGCAATTCTGAATTATATTAATCTTTTTTAGAATGATTTGGCTGTCTATTTTCGGCGATGGCTTCCTATGTTCCGACTTAATCGTGCCTTGACAATCTTCAACCAGTTTTTCATTCTTAACACTCATATCTATTTAGTTTTGTGCTGACTGATTAATGTTCACGCTTGTCTGAAAGTAGGGGCACGTTGAAACCAGCTCTCCCGGTTTGCTTGAAAGTGACTGTGTATTTAACCGTGCTCTATTTAGTCGCTGTAACCACTTGCTCCGCTTTACTATTTGCCATGTGGGAAAGCTCATCACGGGCCTGCCTCAAACAATCGCAGACTGTCTCCTGTTCGTTCATCAGTGCCAGTTGGTCCACGGAACAAGAGAGGTGAACTGCTAAAGCCGG